GCAGCTCCACCATGCTAATGGTGCAATGTGCAAGGATCAGAGGCACGAGCAGCTCCGCCATGTACAGCAGGCAGTACCTGTTTTTGACCTAGGAATGTCACAGCTTAGATTCTTAAGCGCCTAATGATTTAAAGGCGCAAATCAAAAGTGCTCCTGGATAGTAAAAAAAAAAAATTACAGATTCACAATAAAACAGATTCAGACACTGTTGGATGAATATACATAGGCTTGGGAGAGAGAAGAAAAAGAATATAGAAAATAAAGTTAATGGTTTTAAAAAAAGGTAAAGTCTTTAAAGAGACAGAGTACAGATAGTTAAGAGATTAAAAGAAATAAAGAAAAATAAGCCATGTAAAAATGGAAAATTCACAGTCTGGATTATGTACATTGTGTTTTCTTTAAAATTTTTGACTGTGAAGGAGCTAAGTACAGAGAGACATTTTATTACATGGGCTGCCAAGCTAAACCAGAATGGATATAAGGGTATTACGATTTCAAAATTTGGGTCTAAGGATATGATGCTTTGGAGAGGGTCTTCTTTTGTTTTCACAGAGGACCAGACCCTATGGATTGCATCTATCCCGATATGGTATGATAGACCACGACCTCCCAAAAAGTTCCTATGAACACCCTCAAAAAATTACTTCACTCAACTGCCAACTGAGATAAACCTGGCACACAGGTTACACCCTAAATGATCTGATTAACAGCACCCCCATTCAGCAGGAAGCAGTTTGGAGAGAAAAAACCGCGCCCATGTTCCCAAAATATTGTTTATAAATGTTCTTTTACATTTAAAGGGGGAAATGATATAGGTATGAATAATTTGCATTGGTGTGGATTTTAAGGTCAATTTTGCTATATGTATATGTATTTCTGCTCTTGATTAAGGTATTGTGATTGTGGGCCGGGCGGTGGTGGTGCGCGCCTTTAATCCCAGCACTCGGGAGGCAGAGGCAGGCGGATCTCTGTGAGTTTGAGACCAGCCTGGTCTACAGAGCTAGTTCCAGGACAGGCTCCAAAGCCACAGAGAAACCCTATCTAAAAAAAAAAAACAAAAAAACCCAAAAAAACAAAAAAGGTATTGTGATTGTGTAGTTCATTTAAAAATGTAATGTATAATAGGAAATATAGGTTGTTAATGGATAATCATCGATAATAGTAAAGCTTGTAGTCATGTTAGTTAGATTTTCTAGATATATAAAGATATATTTCAGATAGGCATTCTTCATATCTCTCAAAGGCTACAGAATATGGCATTTAAAATATTTTAATAACTTAGGACTTTTAATGACAATGAGACATATCTGTTCCTGGCGGCACCAATCAACTTCGAAAGGAAGATGGGCATCGAAGAGGATCCTTATGGAGTTTGATAGCCATTTGGGCAAGAATCTGCTCTTGCCTGGACTGTTGCATAAAATGGACACAGAGAACCCGCAGAGAGAGGACTGCTGAACTTGCCTAAAGGTGAGACGGTCTTTTGGGGTTCATGACTCATGAAAGAGTCTGCGAGACATTCTGCAGGACACAGCAGATAGTGACTGAACTGTCTTTGAAATTGCCTGCTTCATGGAAATGTCTGCTGGATACTATGGGCCTGAAGGCTGAAGATGGATGCCCCAATGGTATAAAAGAACTTTGGATGACTGTCCAGGCAGCGAGATGTCTTTGTCATTTATAGAGTTTGAAGTTTCTTAGTTCTTGTTTACTTAGGTAATATTATATCCTTCTGGAGTCTTTGATGGAGTTGAAGAATGGATAGATAGTTAAAGTTTTCCATTGTTATGATAAAAGATAAAATAGATATAAATATTGTAACTGTAATTCTTGCTTAATAACTGTTTTGTTATATGTAATTTTGCTATGTTAAAGTTAAAGCCTTTCTTTTTTTTTTTTGTTTAAACAGAAAAAGGGGAAGTGATGTGGGAGTGTCATATATCAATCTGTTGATTTCATTGGTTAAGTAATAAAGAAACTGCTTGGCTGGCCCTCATATTTTTTTTTTTTTTTTTTTTTTTTTTTTTTTTTTTTTTTTTTTTGGTTTTTCGAGACAGGGTTTCTCTGTGGTTTTGGAGCCTGTCCTGGAACTAGCTCTTGTAGACCAGGCTGGTCTCGAACTCACAGAGATCCGCCTGCCTCTGCCTCCCGAGTGCTGGGATTAAAGGCGTGCGCCACCACCGCCCGGCTGGCCCTCATATTTTAAAACATAGGTAGGCGGAGTAAACAGAACAGAATTCTGGGAGAAAGAAGCTGAGTCAGGGAGTCGCCATGATTCTCCCACTCCAGGCAGACTCAGGTTAAGATCATTCCTGGTAAGCCAGCTCGTGGGCTACACAGATTATAAGAAATGGGCTAGTCCAGGTGTGAGAGTTAGCCGAGAAAAGGCTAGATATAATGTTTAAAAGAATACAAAAATACATAAAAATATAATGTTTAAAAGAATACAATTTGTGTGTTGTTATTTTGGGGCATAAGCTAGCAGGTGGCCGGGGTGCCGGGAAAGTAGCCCGCCGCTCCTATTACTACAACTGACCTTGTTCCTGCATTTATTTTAAAAGCTAGATTTCCCACTATGTAGACCAGGTCGGCATTAAACTAGCAGAGATTCACCTGTCTCTAGCTGTTGAGTGCTGGGATTAAAAGTCTGTGCCACCAAGCCAGACAGTCCCCAAATTCTTGGTTATTCTATGGGAAAAGTATTGGAAAGATACTTTTGGTACCCTTTTTCAATGATAGTTTGGGTGCTGGGGAAGTGTATTGGGGTACCCTTTGGCCAACCCACATCTTTGTGAGATCTTAGAACCTGGTCCATTCCTAGCATCTCGACCACCTGAAATTGTTTCCTTTTGCTATGTAAATTACTTTTGAAACTCCTTCAGGAATGAAGTGGAATGCCGAGCTGTGGTGGCACATGCCTTTAATCCCAGCACTCGGGAGGCAGAGGCAGGTGGATCTCTGTGAGTTCAAGACCAGCCTGGTCTACAAGAGCTAGTTCCAGGATAGGCTTCAAAGCTACAGAAAAACCTTGTCTCGAAAACCAAAAACAAACAAAAAGAATGAAGTGGAAATCTGAGGCCAGCAGCTAGCTCCCCAGCTGCAGGTTTCCTGACCTCATTGGTGGGGAGACGTGGGTACTTAGGGATGGGGTGGGGTTGGGAGCCAACAGGCCCGTACAATGGCTGGGTAGCCAGATGTTTGCTTTCACAGCTCTCCTGTAAAACTAGCAGGGCAGATATAGATAAAAATGCAGCACAAACTCCATTTAAAGTCCATTACAGATCAGGAGCCAGCTCCCCCCAGGCAGGAGAAGGGAGGGAAGGGCGCAGAGGCCACATCAGTCCTCTTCTTATCTAGGGCCACATGTCTCTCTTCTAGCTTTGTGAAGCGTGATTTACACCCCTGACTGGAATGACTCTCTTTCTGGCCTGATTACATCTGCAAATGCCCCCCAGAGGCCACAGCAGGATGGCCATTTTCAGACGGAGCGGCCAATAAATCTCAGAGGTTTATATTGTACTTCACGGTGCCTTCCCTCTTGGCCCTCTGCCAGTCGGGTTGTGGAAGGTGGGGGGGGGGGGCGGTGCTCAAGTTGGAGGCTTAGGAGACAAAACCCTCCTCTGCTGTCACCCTTTACTCTTGTCCTTCTAGACCTGGCTTAGTTCTGATCTTCCCAAGTCAGTTTTCCCTCTGGAAACGGGTGGGAACCAAGCCCAGGCCTGGCCGTTGTCCTTGCTCTCACTGGTGACGGACGTGCTGTGTTCTGGACACTGCAGCTCCCAGCTAGTTTAACCCTGGTACAGCAGCTTGCTCACAAACCCCCGTCACCTGGAAGTGGGATCGTGAGTGACTTGGCAGGAGTTGCGGGGGGGTGGGTGGTTGGAGGCAGGGTCTCTAATCCAGACTGGTTTGCCTTTGAGCTTCTGGTACTCCTGCTCCACCCCGGAGTGCTGAACCCAGGGCCTCACTCTACCACTCTATCCACTGTTCTGCATCTGAGTTCTGGTCAGTGTTTGATCTGCTTAGCAGGAACTGGGCACTAGGGGTTAGGGTGGGAGGAATATCCTTCCCACTGCTCTCATCAGTCCGAGGGGCTTGATTTTGGAGCAGATGGGTTTACCAAAGCTCCTGAGTCCTGCCCTGCTTATGTTCCCCTCTGTCATTTCACCAGTCTGGGGAACATTTTTTAGAGTCTTGATTTCAATAATCACAAAACCTTACCCCTGGAAATACTTACTTAAGGACAAATGAGATAATAGACGTGCAAATTCACACACACACACACACTCACAATCAAGATACCCTTGTTCAAGATTTCTTGATTTGATTTAGCTTTGGTTTTGTTTGTTTTTTTGTTTTGTTTCGTTTTGTTTTTCTGAGACAGGGTTTCTCTGCATAGCCTTGGCTGTCCTGTAGACCAGGCTGGCTTGAACTCACAGAGATCCCCCTGCCTCTGCCTCCCAAATTCTGGGATTAAAGGAGTGTGAGATACGGTGTCTCTCTGTAGCCCAGACAGGTCTGGAACTCACTATGTAGGTTAGGCTAGTGTCAACTCACAGCAATCCTCCTGTTTCCACCTCTGAGATCTCAGGAGTGAGCCCACACCAAATTGATTCCAGTGTTGTTACAAGATTTCATTTGTTCCTGGATGGGGAGAAGGGCTCCAAACGAGAAAGACTGCTTTGTTTTTTGACAATTACTTAACAGCAGCAATCTTGCCAGGGAAATTGGCAGCGGACAGACAGTAGGTTGGCAGATCCAAGTGGCTCTAAGGTCTTGTCCCGCTCTGGGTCCGGGAGAAACAACTATCCGAAGCTCCCTCGCGCTTCAGAGTTGGAGGGCGGTGCCCACGACCCTAGTGGTAGAGTGGCGGCGCCGGGAGGAGGGGCGGGAGGCGGCGGTGGGAGGTGCCGGCCGAGGGAGCCCTGTTCGCCGAGTCCGGAGTCCCGAGTCCCGCGCACGGAGGCAGGGGAACGCGGCTCCCAGGAACGCGGCTCCCTGCGCAGGCAGAGCGCCTGGAGAGCGGACACCCAGCGTCCACACCCGGCCATGGGACGCTCCCGGAGCGCACGACCGCCGCCGCTGGTGCTCTTGCTACTGGTGCTGTCGCTGTGGCTGGCACTAGGAGCAGGTAAGTGTCGCCCCGTGCATTCACTCAGCCTAGAACCCTCTGGGGCTGTAGGACAGGTGGACCTAAGAGTATTGGTGGGGTGCTCGCTCTTCTGTCTCTGGAGTCTGGGGAACTGGAATAGAAAGTCCAGAGTGTCAAAAAGGGGCTGGTTTCCAAGCCTAGACGAGAGTATGGACTCGTGTAGATGAAGCCCTATCAAATCCTGGCCACCTAAGCATCTCCTCGCCCCTGGTTCTACTTCTCTCTTTTGAGGTGCATCTAAATCAATTATGGGCCAACCTGAAGCCCGGCACTACCAAGTCATTATCTGCAGGAGGTGAGAATCTGATCAGAGGTTGCCACTGGCTCTCAGTGGCTTTCAACTCTTTCATACTGCAGAAAGGAAGTAGAAACTGAAGAATTTGTGTAACTTGTCATAGAATAGGCTTGTGAACTGCTTAGAATGTGCTAACCTCATTACCTGATTGTATTGTTGAGAATGCTACCACAACCTGCCCTCTTCCTACACTGGGATGTGCTTTTTAATTACTTAGTTATTTAATTTAATTTATTTTTTTGTTTTCGATATAGGGTTTCTCTGTGTAGCCCTGGCTGTCCTGGACTCAGCTGTAGATTATGCTGGCCTTGAACTCACAGAGATCCGCCTGCCTCTGCCTCCCAAATCCTGAGATTAAGGTTTTTTTTTTTATTGAAAATAGATTCTTCTCTCATACTATACATCCCAATGGCAGTTTCCTCTCCCTCCACTCCTCCCAACCCCCACCTACCTTTTCTCTCCCCCAGATCTACTCCCCTCTGTTTCCCTTCAGAAAAGAGCAGGCTCCCAAGAGACAACAACCAAACACGACAAAAAAGGATACGATAAGACAAGGGAAAAGCCCTCATATAAACTGGACAAGGCCACCCAATAAGAGGAAAAGTGACCCAAGAGCAGGCAAGAGCCAGAGACATACCCACTCCCTCTCAGGAATCCCACAAAGTTGGTGTTGAGAATTCTCTTTCTGGCCACACGGCTTTTCCCCAGCTACCCAGAACAGTGCCTTCTCCAGAGGGTAACTGACCCGCAGTAAATTTTGTGGGATGATATAATTCAGGGCTGAATTAGAGCCATGTCCTTTTTTTTTTAAAACATTTTTATGGTTTATTTAACTTTTATTTTATGTGCATTGGTGTGAAGTGTCAGATCCCCTAGAACTGATCTTCAGACAGTTGTGAGCTGCCATGTGGGTGCTGGGAATTGAACCCGGGTCCTCTGGAAGAGCAGACAGTGCTCTTAACCACTGAGCCATCTCTCCAGTCCCGAGCCATGTCCTTCTATCCAAGGGAGAGAATCGTAAGAGCCACAATCCCTGGAAAGAAAGATAATGACCTTGGGAAGGCGGAAAGGCACTGGGGAGTCTCACTGCGGTCTCCTGGATCTCGAGTGAGAGACCACACACAACAGGGGTGGTGCTACAGAAATCCAGTCTTGAGCAGGTCATGGTGCTGTGAGAAGAGAAGACCTTGAGTTTGAATCCAGCCTGGACTAGATACACAGCAATGCCCTGTCTCCAAAAAGGTGCAGAGTGTGGGGAAGGGGAACAGAGTGTGTCTGGGGAGATGGTCAACAGGCACACTGCTTGCTGTGCAAGCTTGGGGACCTGATTTTCAGATTTCTAATACTTACATTAAAGTTGGGAGCTCACATCTGTAACACCAACAACAGAGGTGGGGTGTATAGGGGTAGAGACTGGGGTTTGTTGTCCAGACAGTCTAGTCAAAATGATGAGCTCCAGGTTTGGTGAGAAGACCTGTCTCCAAAACTGAAAGTAGCCAGGTGGTGGTGGCGCACGCCTTTAATGCCAGCACTGGGGAGGAAGAGGCAGGCGAATCTCTGTGAGTTCAAGGCCAGTCTGGTCTACAAGAGCTAGTTCCAGGACAGGCTCCAAAGCTACAGAGAAACCCTGTCTCGTAAAACAAAACAAACAAACAAACAAAGTAAAGAAAGAAGAGAACAATCAAGAAAGACTTCTAACGTGGACCATTGGCCCCCACAGGCACATCTATGTGCACTCAGACACACATACATACATGTGAAAATAACACACACAAGGAAGAGATGAGAAAGGGGAAAAGGGAGGAACTAGTCTGTACAGCCTGTCTCCGTTGGTAAATCTGGGCAATAAGAACTCGTCAGCCTGACTTGGCTGCCCACCAGGAAATTCCACTAGTCCCAGCATCTCTGCCGGTTAGGATCAGAGGTAAACATTAAATACCTTCCTCATTAATTGGTGAAGTGGAATGACAGACAGGTCCATCCCGCCGTAACTCTCGTAATAATTTCTGCTTAAGAGGCCTTACCAGGGCCTAGGTATGTGGGTGTACTTGCCTTGCGTCATTCCTAAGGCCCTAGGGTTTAATCCCTAAGCACTACAGCACACACACACACACACGCACAGAGCACACACATGCACAGAGCACACGCACACACCATTGCTGTCCAGTAGCTGCCAAGTGCTGCTTATGAGCTAACACTAACGGGGAGTTTTTTGTTTTTTTTTTTTTAAACGGGGAGTTTTTAACAATTGAGTAGAGAATACTAGTGCTCACCCCAAGCCAAACATAAAGGGGACTTCCCCCTCTCAGGGATGTGGCATCGTGGACTAAAAATCATTCTAAACTAGCTAGAAAACATGCGTTCTAAGTTCTAACTTTGAGCTAGGCTGGACCAGCTACATCCCCTGGTGCGTCAGCACAGAGCTGTAGATTTAAAAGAAGAGAAGGAAAAGGACTCGGGGTGTAGCTGAGCATTGGACCTCTTGCCAACAGGAGCTAGATCCAGTTTCCCAACTCTAGCCAAGAAGAAAAGAAAACACGCGTCAATTAAAGCACACATCTGTGCCTTGTATCAGTTTATGATCTTGCCCTGACTTAAGCCCCAGTTTCACAATCCAGAAGACAACTTCTACTTTTTTTCCTCTTGAAATTTAAATTTAAGTCCCTCCAAGTTCTTTGTGGCCTGAGCGGTTTATGAATCCACCAGGCTCAGGCTCGGTCAACTCCCAGAAAGAAGAGCTTTTCCTTTGGAAGAGTTAGGAGTCAGAATTTGGTCCAGTTAAATGTTCATTTAATTCAGTAACCGCAAGGAGACTGAAGCCTGTGACATTTCCTTCAATCAACCACTAACTCGTGTTTATTTGTAACGAGCGTCTCTTTAAACTTTCTACCCCCTTTGGGTAAAGGTCTTTTCTTTTTTTTTTTCTTTGAAAAGGGTCTCTCTCTGTAGCCCTGACTGTCCTGGAACTCACAGAGATGCTCCTGCCTCTGCCTTCTGTGTGCTGGTATTAAAGACATGTTTCACCATCCATGTCCAGCAATCTTTTCCAATTTTTGTTCACCATCCTTAGTCATTAATAAAACACACCACACGTTACACACACACACACACACAAGCAAATATATAAATCTCATACCTTCCTTAAATATTTTTGAAAATTCAAGAGTTTTGTGGCTTCTTACACATATGAAGCTATCAAGTAAAGTTTCTATTTTATATGCATGTGTGTTTTGCCTGAATATATTTGTGTATATTTGTGTACCACACAGTCCTTGAGGCCAGAAGAGGGTGCAGGATTTCCTGGACTGGTGTTACAGACAGGAGTGTGCCATCATGTGGATCCTGGGAACTGTGCACAGGTCTTCTGCAAGAGCAGCCAGTACTCTTAATCTCTAAGTCAACTCTCTAGCCCCCTTCTTTTTCTTTTCTTTCTTTATTTTTAAAAAAGATTTATTTCATCATTTTTGTGTATGTGTGTATTTGTGTATCTTTTTGTCTTTCTGTATGAGTGCAAGTGCCAGAGGAGGCCAGAAAAGGGTGCTGAATACCTTGGAACTTAACTTGCAGATGGTTATAAGCTGCCCCATGTGGGTGCTGGGAATTGAACTCAGGTCCTCTGAAAGAACATTATTCTTTCTTAAGAGCTGAGTCTCCAGAGTGGTGCTTTCTTCTTCTTCTTCTTCTTCTTCTTCTTCTTCTTCTTCTTCTTCTTCTTCTTCTTTTTCTCCTTTTCCTCCTCCTCCTCCTCCTTCTCCTCCTCCTCCTTCATCATCATCTTTTACATTTGTTTACTTATTTGGAGTGATGGAGGATGCATATGTGGAGACCAAAGAATAACCTACAGTAGTTTCTCAGGCTTGGTAGGAAAGGTCATCTTGCCAGCCCGGGCAAGCTTCTAATCTGGGCATGGTGATGCATGCCTGTAATCCTAGTTTTTGGGAGGTTCAAGGTCATCCTCCACTGCATAGAGAGTCTGAGGCAAACCTTGACTACCTAAGGCCCTAGTTCAAAAAACAAACATGAACTTTTACATGTTCAAGGTGACAGAAAAGAAACCACACCGTTAGTGACAGAGTTACCACCACCTTTCATGGATTTTTGCAATTGAAAAATTCTCATGACCATGGGTACTATGTTACTGAGCAAAAGAAGCTGTGTCATTACGGTGGCTCATACCTGTAACCTCAGCACTCAGGAGTCTAAGGAAGGAGGGAGGATGGAGAGTTCAAGGCCAGCTTGAGCTCCTGTGGTACATTGCGCTATTTATCAAGAAAAAGAAAAGAAACCCACTAAAAGGGGCTAGAGCAATTCCTCAGTAGGTAAGAGTGATTATTTGGTAAGTATGATGATTTGAATTAAATATCTAGCATCCACAATTAAAACAGCAAAACACAGTCACGGCTGTGTGTACCTATAACCCTGACATGGTGGGACAGAGAGAGGCAGATGCTGAGAGCTTACTGGTCAGCCAGCCTAGCCAAAAAGATGAGCTTCTGGTCTAGTAAGAGATCCCATAGCGAGGCAACAAGGCAAAGGACAATAGAGAAAGACACCCTTACATGCTGCCATGACTTCTGCGTGTGTGTGCACAGGCACATGTACTGCACACAGGCAATGCCCCACACATAAATAAACACATACATACTTGCCAAGGTGCAAAAAAGAAATAACCAAAAAAAACGCA